CTATGGCACACAGTCCTATTAGGAATGAAAAAGGAAAATAAGTGAAGAAAAAGCAGAAATTTAAAAAGATGATCAGATAATATAATGAATAACTTTCTGTTAACAAATTTAAAAACCTGAGGGAAATGGACACTTTCTTAGGAAATTTAACCTACCAAAACTGACCAAAGAAGAACTAAAAAAAGTTTAAAATCTTCCCACAAAGAAAATACCAGACCTAGTCAGTTTTAAAAGTGAGGGGGGTTTTTTAATTAAGAAAAATAATTCTGACATTACATAGAATTTTTCAGAGAAAAGAGAAAAAGTTTTTCAACTAACTTTATAATGGCAGTACAGGCATACTCCACAGAACATCTCCCAGATTAATGTTTTCCCAGGAAGTTATCTCTCAAAACAACATTTCAGCCAATATTTACATATGAAAAATTATATTTAGATCCCCCAAACTCAATACATTTTTAACAACCAACAACAACAAAAAAGTCTTTCACATATTATGTGAAAGAAAAAAAGGACAATAATAGCACAGACTTTCCTGAAAAAGATCATGGTGTCTGGGTGGTGATATGGACTGGGGAGAGGGGAAGTATTTGCCATTCCATATATCAAGACTTATTACAAAAATATAGTAATTATAACAGTGTAATACTGACCCAGTATAGACAAATTGACAGGTGGAACAGAATAGACAGCACAGAAATAGACTCACACAAAACAAACACAACTTGATATGACTATGATAGGTCTGTGTAAAAAGGATAGGCTATTTGATAAATGGTCTTGGAACAAGTGGTTACCCATAGGGAAAATGTCTGTACCCTAGCACCAACTACAAACAAAAGTCAACTCGATATGGATTAAGTGCTTTAAAATAAAATGTGCATAGTTTGCCTGCATAATCTCATTTATACTCCTGATGAGAAAATCGGGGTACAACAGGAAAGGGTGGAGTAAGAAATAAATCTCACCTACTTTCCACCCTTTACAGGGAGTATTAGTTTTATCTTGCTGCCATAACAAATTAACACAAATTTAGCAATTAAACACACAAATTTATTATCTCACAGCTCTGTAGGACAGAAAAGTGTCATGAGTCTCAGGGGGCTAAAATCAACGCATTAGCAGGGCTATGTTCTTTTCTGGAGACTCTAGGGGAGAATCTGCTTCTGTGTTCATTCAGGTTGTTGGCATAATTCAGTTCCATGCAGTTGTAGAAACAAAGTCCCTGTTTCCTTGCTGGCTGTCAGCCGAGGGCCATTCCAGCTTCTAGAGGCTGCCCATATTCTTTGGCTTGTGGCCCCTTTCTTCCACCTTTAAACTAGCAATGGAGGGTTGAGTCCCTCTAATGTCTCATCTCTCCTGACTGCTCTTCTGCCACCAAATCTCTAACTCTTCTATTTTTATTTCCCCATCTCAAGGTCCTAATATTAACACATCTGCAAAGCACCTTTTACTATGTAATGTAATACATTCAGGCTCTGGGGATTAGGACACAGATATCCTTGGGGAACCACTATTCTGCCTACCACCCAGGAAAACCAAAGTTGTTCTCTGTTTGCAATAACACTGTGTGTAGCTTATATGTCCTTACACAATGCTTCAGCCCCACATGCAAGTGTGGAGAGGAGACTAGGTAGAAAATGTCTCCTATCTTCTTCTCCTGTTCTTTCTGCTTACCTGTACTTAACTGTTGGGTTTTCCTTACCAGGATGCGTGAGGTTGATGCAGACAATCTCTGCACTGTCTGCATCTTCCTGTCTGTTGATGCAGGCAAGAAGATGAAGAATTTATAACTGATTTTCTAACACCCAACGCTAACCCAATATTTGGAACAAATGCCTTTCCTCTACCTACTCTTCAATTGCCCAAAGTTTAGGAAAGAGATCTTAAGGGAAGAAGAGAAAAGAGTAAGGTAGGAGCAAAAATGTAAAGCCATTAAAAGAAAAACAGCAGCATATTCCCCCTTCTTTAAGAACTCATTCCAAGAATGTTCCATAATTGGTGCTGTGGTTTGAATGTCTCCCCAAGCTCATGTTGGAGCTTGACCCCCATTGTAACAATGTTAACAGGGTGGGAAATTCAACTATGGTTATTCGTAAGTGGGGCCTTTAAGAGGTGATTGGACTGTGAGGACTAAGCCCCCATGAATGGATTTAATCCATTCACAGATGTATTGGTCCATTTTTGTATTGCTATAACAGAATACCTGAGACTGGGTAATTTATAAAGAAAAGAGGTTTATTTGGCTTATGATTCTGGGACAGCTGCATCTGGTGTGGCTGCAGGCTGCTTCTACTCATGGCAGAAAGCAGCAGGCAGACAGCAGGTGCAAGCAGATCATATGGCAAGAGGAAACAAGAGAGAAGGAGGGGAGGTGCCGGGGTCTTTTTAAACAACCAGTTCTTGCAGGAACTTATAGAGCAAGAACTGACTCACTACCCCCAACCCCCAAGGAGAGCATTAATCCATTTATGACAGATCCATCCCCATGACTCAAACAGCTCCCAACACTACCACATTGGGGATCAGCTTTCCACATGAGTTTTGGGGAGACAACACATCCAAACTCGATCAATAGATTAATGGTTTAATGGGTTATCAGGGAATAGACTGATAGCTTCATAAGCAGAGCAAGTGAGCATGTGGAAATGCTCTTGCTCAGCCCTCACTATGTGATACCCTGTGTCGCCACAGGACTCTGCAGAGAATAAAGTTGTCACCAGATGCTCCCTTTGACCTGGGATTTCCCAGCCTCTGAAACTGTAATAAATAAATTTCATTTCCTTATCAATTATCCAGTTTCAGGTATTCTGTTATAAGCAACGGAAAACTGACTAATACATTTGGGGTGAGGTTAAACAAAAGGAAGAACCTAGCTCATCTGTGTCATTTATGGGATATCATTACATACTATACACAGTCTTAGATGATTCTACAAACGCTTCTTAACTATTTAAACTAAACTACACAGTGCATGTGCATAGTTATGACCCTTTAAATGAGAAAACTTAGGCTCAAAATGGTGGTCATTTATCAAAGGGAACAAGTGTCAGAGCTAGATGTTCCTAGGTCTGCTGACAGCCCCAGCCCAGGGAAATTTCCTCTCCCTGACTTTCCCCAACGAGAAGGCAAGATAAGGCTTCTTATAATCCCCACACTGTACCCTTCAGCATTTTTAGATGACATTCTTGGTGGTGTCACTTTCCTTCCCAACTTTTCTCTTGCCCCGGTTGTTACAGTGACTTCCTAATGCAGGTCTGGAGTTATTTACCTTTTTGTGATTATTATACATTTACTTCTGTATAGTCATTGTCTTCAAGTTGATTTTGTTATCATTCAGGTTTGTCCTTGTATGATGACCACTGGGTTGTGGAACTGATTTTTCTTTTTTTTTTTTTAAAGCCACTTTATTGAGGTATGACTGTGATACAAAAAGCTGTAAGAATTTAATGTATACAACTTGATGATTGGAGATAAGTTCCTTTTCTTTTCTTTTCCTTTTTAAAAATTTTTTAGCAGTAACCTTGAAAGAAAGAAAGGTGCTGAGACTGTGGTCTCTGTATGAATCTCTGCTAGGACTTAGAGAAACAAGGAGACATAATTGTTACCAGTCAGCCTTTTTCAGTGCCCTTCTTGTCCCTTCAAGGAGATATGGTTACCAGAAAATAGCCAATTAACAATCTCTGCTTTATTTCTGTGGTGATAACTAATCAGCTCTAAAATTTCAGCATAAAATCACAACTCCTTACCACAGGTACAAGGCCCTACATGAGCTCCTCCTGCCAGTCCTTTTTGCTGTTCTCCTGGCTCTGCTCCAGCCACACTGGCCAAGGCCTGCTGTCCCCAGATCCTGCTGAATGACCATCCACACACACCCTGCTCAAAGTTCACCCCCAGTCTTGCTATCAATACCCTAGCCCCATGAGCTACTACCAAGCTCTTGAAATGTGCCTCGTCTGAACTGAAATGTGCTGGATGTATGAAATAAACACCGGATTTCTAAAACTTTGAATAATAATTCAATATATGCTAAATATTATCATTTCAACATCTAATCAGTATAAAGTTATTGAGATAAAGAATGCACGAGTTGATTTAACCTGTTCCTTTTTACATTTTACAAAGTGGCGATTTGAAAATTTACAGTTCCATTTGCGGTTGGCCCTGCCTTTCTAAGGGACGGCGCTGTTCTGTCGCATCACCCTCTTCCGCTTCCCTCTTAGCGCCTACACCGTGTGGAGTGACGGTGTCCACGTTCACCTGTTCAGTGTCTCTCTCGCCCAACCAGCTTGTAAGACAGGAACCCTGTCAGTCTCATTCCCACCTGATTCCCAGGCATTTAGGACAGAGCATGGAGCGTAGTACTAAATAAATATTTTTGACAGAATGACCTTACTCGTCCTCAACTGCAGACAGTGAGCTCTGTCTGTCATTCCCCAAAACACGGGGTCTGAAGTCCTTTAGGCTACGCCCGCTGCTCAGCACTGACCATATGCTCTTGACCCTGGGAGGAGAGGTGGTTGGATATCCACACTTGATAAAACCTCCTTCTTGGCCCAAAAAACTAGACACACAACCGCAAAGGGGACTCAAGGTGAGCTTCCTCGCCGCTCAGTCCTCTTTCCGTTCGGAGACCCGCCCCCCAGCCCCTCACTGGGCGCTTCTCCCTCCGGCCGCACGGCGGCGTCTCGCGAGAGTGCGGCGGCCGATGGTACAGTCCGTTCTCCCCGCGCCCCTCGGACAGTGGGTTCTTCCATTCGTAGAAAAGCATTGTGGGAAGGCGCGGCAGCCTTTCCTGTCTCCCGCGCTGTGGCGGTGATGAGCTGCGTTGCGGACTGCGGGCTGGCGGCTGGTTGGGCCTCGGGCCACATGCCCTCCCACTCCGGGGCGCCGGGCAGGGGAGCGCGAGCGCCCTGAGCCTGGTGAGGCGCCAGCAACAGCCAGGCCGGGTCTGACGGTTCCGGGCCGGGAATGCGTGGAGGACAGCGGCCTGGCCTCGGCCACTTTCTCCGCGGGACCGAGGGAGGGCCCGAGGCAGCCTTCGGCCTGCGTTCCCTTGCCCGGAAATGGGGAGATTAGTTTAGGTGGAGTTACGTTCATTGATCGTCGACTACGTATGCCAGGGAGTTTGTTACATAAACGGATATTTTTTCCGTGTAAGCGGGAAGGCCCCCCCCCCGTTTAACTGCCTTATTCCTGCTCTACCCCACCGTAAAGTAACGCAGTGTAGAAGCCACGTGCCGTTCCAGGTGGAGACCATCACAACTGCTTACAGGTGCAGAACTTGGCGGAAATTGAATGAGTGTCGCCAACCTTGCAGGTGAGCTTTCAAGTTAGTACAAAAAAGACCCGTTGCCTCGGGTTTTAAGAGTTTCAACCAACCGCTTAAAATACTCTGTAAGAATGAGTGTCGCCAACCTTGCAGGTGAGCTTTCAAGTTAGTGCAAAAAAGACCCGTTGCCTCGGGTTTTAAGAGTTTCAACCAACCGCTTAAAATACTCTGTAATTCACTTTTCATTACCAAGTCGGATTTTGGATCAAAGAGAAAACCTAGAGCTGGGATTAGTAAACTGTTTCCTTTCAGACTCTAATCAGCAGAAGTTTATCTCAGCCAGTTAGCAACCTGTGCCGTAGAGCCGACCGCATGCGGTTTTTATGCAGCCTTTGTGTTGCCCATTCATTTTTGGAAACTAGTGAATGTGGTGTCAAAAAAGGCGTAAATTAAACACTTTGCGGCTTTTACTGGCCTTAAATTTGATATCTTTGGTGCAGGAGCTGCATAAGTAACAGTTCATGCTTTTATGTTGATTTGTTTACAACATGTGGTTCAGAGTCTGCTAACATTGTGTATTAGCTTCTTTTAACCGGTTCTAACGTTTCTGATAGGTGAAAGATGAGTCCTTGAAGTACAGACATCTGCTAGCTGAATACGATCTGGGAGCACAGAGGTGACTTTAAGGTAGGGTTATTGCTGAAGTTTGTGTCCTAAAGTACTTTGTAATGGAAATTTTATCACCTTTTAAATAAATAGGTGTGCCTTGTCTAGTGAGTATAAAATTAGCGTTAATGGTTCTTTAGCATTAGTTAGTGCTACATCTATAGTTATCCAGATAGTTTATTTTTGTGAACATGTTCTAATTTTTCTGAGTAACCCAGAGAAACATATAGTACTGGCATTCTCAATCGCTTAAGATTTATGTGTTTCTGTGTAGTAGCTAAAGTTCTTACAAGACGTGACTCATGTAAATATTTGCTTGTCAAATTGAGTATTTTTTTTTCTCTTAGGATATCCTTGGTGAGGATTTTGAGAATTTGATCTTCACAAGAGTTGCTTGGAACATTTAAAAATTTCCAGGAGCCTGAGGAGTACTGAAATAATTACTTTTGGACAGTCCATAAATATGAATAAATATATTTAATGTGCTTGAGATTTGTGTTTTAAATGATTAACTCCCAGAAAATAGCTTTCTGTTACTGGAAGATCAAAGGGCAGGTTCCATCTCCCCAACAACTTCAAAATTATGTTCAATCTCAGCAGTTAAGATTAATATTGAGTGCTGTCACAGTCATTGATAGCCTTGTGAAATAGCTTGTGCTTGGCCCAAAGAGAAAAAAGTGCTTGCAGTGACTCATCCATGATGAATAGAACTAGACTAGCTGATTTTTAGGTCATAAGTGCTTTACTGCACACTTGTTCCAACTAGATTGTACACAACATTTGCAAATCTTCGGCCTTCACTTTGCAGGAAAGAACAAATAGTATGTTAGGCATTCAAAAAATTTTATTCAAAGCACTGTACTAGGAGCAGAGAATACAACAGTAAGCACGACACAATTCCTCCCTTTGGAAGTTTACAACTGAGGGGAGGGAATGTCATCACAAATGTAAAACTTCTGTGAGACAAGTCCCATGGTAGGATTTGATCAAGGCAGAGAAACCTGAGTGCAGTCAAAACTGTGGCTCACTTGGGAGAGTGTGGTGCCGACAACACCAGGCCAAGGGTTAAGATCCTCTTACCAGTCATCTTTTAATTTTTTTCTTAAACTGAAAGTAGGTGCCATTTTTGCAAGGCTAAGTTAGAATGACGTGCAGAGGGAGGCCTTGGGATAGGAAAAAAGATAGGACCATGAGTCCATGTAATGTCTGACATTTTTGGCTGCTTTCCCTCTTCAGTGCCCTTGTTTAGAATTGGGTGCTTAATGAGGCTTATAAGATGGCTATGATAGGAGTGTTACAAGATAAGGCTGAAGAGGTAAGTAAAAAGGCCAGCCCACTTAAGTCTCCAGCTTTATTAAAGCAAGCAAGGGAAATGTGTGGTAGAAAAAAGTTTAGATTTGCAAGAAAAGGGAGGCAGGTGGGCCAATTACAGGCTGCTATTGTCTAGGCAAGAGATGACCAGCTTGGACCAGTGTGGTGCTAAAATTAGTGAAAGACTGTACAGGGAAAGCCAACAACACTTGGTCATACTGGAAGTGTCCATAACAACTGCTAGGTGTCTAGCTTACACATTCCCAAGAATAATGGATCCAGCTAAGGAACAGTATTTGAATCTGAATTACTTTTGAGAATCCAAGTGGCTTCTTTACAGTAGAACACTGCTCTGTAATCTAAGCTACAGAAATAAATCTTACAGCCATGAGTATAAATGATCTCCCTGGAGTAGAGGAATAGGGGCTAGGTCTGAAGTTTGAGAAACTCCAACAGCTTATAGCAAGGTAGGATAGGATGAGTGGTAAAGAATGGTCAGAATGGTAGAAACAAAATAGGGATATATTAAAAAGCAAAAGAATGTTGCAAGGCCTAAAAATTCTTGAGATTTAGTGACATGGTGATTTTAGTGGAGAAGAAACTATTAGAGATAAAGTAGGAATTAGATGAACTGAGGACACTGGCTAAAGACAGTCCTTTCAAGAAATAGCTGAGAATGGGGGAGAGAAGAATGATAGTAGCTAGAGAGGGATTGTGATTGTGAAAGTTGGTTTGTTTCCATTTTTATTAGAGTCTTTAAAACCTAGTGGCAAGGTTCTTGCTGAGGAATAGGTTGAATACATTAATACAGGAGAAAGCAGAGGCAAGATGGGGAGAGAATCCAAAGCACAGACAGGAAAGGAAGGCAGAACTGGGTTGACAGCAGGTGTGGGAGAATTGTATGAGGTAAGGGAAAAATAAAAGATATCCTGCATAAGCATTTCTGTTCTCCCTATAGACTGCAAAGTCATCTGGGGACACTAAAGATCCACAATAGTCACTGGGGAGTTTGATGGCCAGGCAGGGTGGAGATCATATGAGACTGAAAAGTCAGAGGTCAACTGAAATCCACATTTATCCTTTTTTTTTTTCTGAAAACACAAGGACACTTCAAAAATTAAAAGCAACACTGAAAAAAAAGCTTTTTACATTTGTAAATAACCAGTGGAACTTAATGCCACAAAATACAGTATTACAAAGAAAATTAATATTTATACGAATAAAAATATCTGCAGTCTGACAGTGATGCCTCAGTCCTTGTACATCTGGGCACTAGCTGAGAACCACCTAGAGTTGGGGAGAACATTCTCCCGCTTGGTGTACTATTGCACAGCAAGCCAGCTGCAGTCGAATAAAAATATCTGCAGTCTGACAGTGATGCCTCAGTCCTTGTACATCTGGGCACTAGCTGAGAACCGCCTAGAGTTGGGGAGAACATTCTCCCGCTTGGTGTACTATTGCACAGCAAGCCAGCTGCAGTCCAAAATTGCAGAATGTTGATCAGAAGTATCCAGTCTTGGTTGTGAATGGTCATCCTGTTTCAGGAAGGAAAATGTGGCATCAAAACTATCCTTCCAGTTAAAATAAAAAGGCCCTTCAGCACAAGTATATGCTGTAGTTAAACCTTTAAAAGAAGCAAAAGATGCATATTTTCTTGTGCTGAAGAAACACTTGCAGGTTCAAGATATTTGAATAATTGTCTAATTCACAGTTTCAAAAGTACCAGTGGCACACATACCCTTCCCACCCCCGTCCCTGGCCCTTCCCTACGATCAAGTTTCTGTCTTGAGGCGAGAAGCTTGGATAGTTTTTATTGTTTTTGCTGTGTGTTTCCCAGCCGGATTGCTTGGAGATGCCAGGGATTTTTCTTCAATCAGGCTGTCTTTAGACCCGTTTCTTTTCTAAAATAAAATATTGGAAAAATACAGAAAGATTCAGAAGAAAATATAGCCAAATTAAGTATATTTTTAATTAATACATCAGAAACTACTTAACTTAAAACATGAAGTTATATACAGTTTAAAAATTTCATGATGCCAAAAGTTCAACAAACATTCCCTCTATTTAAATCGTTAGCTATAAACAAAGATTGTGTTTAATCTTAAATATAATAAAGTTAGTCTGACAGTTACATGCATAATGAGAATTTTTTTCATGAAAATTAGGCATCATTCACCCAAATTAGTGTCATTTCTTTGTGAGTAATTCTAAAACCAGGCTCTCAGCCTTTCTACTTTCCCAAGGAAGGCAGAGAGATGAAGAGAATGGAGAGTGGGAGGTAATCTATACATGTTCCCTGACTATATTTTCAGTAGTCACTGAAAGAAACAATGTCTTTTGCACAGTACTATGTCTTAGAGACCCCATCACTTGGAGCTAGACGTACCTGTCAGCTGGGGTGGGGAGACTTGGGACATTCGATATCATGAGTGACCATCATGGAGAAATGGGAGCTGAGTTACTAGAGCCTGGGTACCACACCCAGTACTTCTGGGATCAGGTCTTGTACATCTCCCACAACCACAGGTGGAGGCCCTGAGAATGACACAGTACCTCACACAGCCTCTCCTCTGCTTTACCTTGCTCTTACCTCCTAGAGACTGCCTAACCTGTCAGAAGAGGCTAACAAGCATACTTCCCTCCCCAAAAGTATATGGACACATAATGGACTACACTGTCCAGAACTCTCTTACTTTAAAGTTCATTTGGGCTAAAAATAAACCATCTTTTAAGAAGTAGTTATGTTTAGGTGGGGGGCGGGGATTGGTTATCTTTCATCTGTTCTATGACTGGCTTAATTTGTTTTCCTGACATTCAAAGCAGCACTAATGGAGTAACTATTCTGCTAGGCATGGGAAGTATGAATCAATGTATTTGGGATGGAAGATTTCTAGATAGCCAGAGGTCGTGGGAGGAGTACACGAGTGCATGTGAGAGAGGAAAAGAATATATCAGAAGAATAACCAGAGAAGGAGCTAGGAGGTGACCTAAAATGCTACTTGTAAATTCATCTAAGATTGGACCTGTCCCCTCCATCTGCAGACCTTAAGGAAATAAGTAAATCTAATCGAGTTCTTAATCCACTCCACTCTTCTTCAGCCTTCTGCATGAAAATGCGAGATGAGGTATTGGGCAGGCCACTTTGTGAACTCTCGCACCATGATCCAACTTAGGAAATGAGCTTTCCTGCTTCCACTGGTCACCCTAGCCCCTTCTCCACACCATAGCCAGATTAGTGGCTTCCTTTCGGCACTTAGAAGTAAAACAAAAAAAGGCTGGCTGGCTAGCTAAGTGGTGAGAGCACGGTGTTGATAACACCAAGGTCTAGGGTTCAGATCCCCATGCTGGCCAGCCACCAAAAATAATAAATAAAATCCAAATCTCTTTCCCACAGCCTTTAAAGTCCTGTGTTATCTGCCATCCTTCCCTCTCACTCACTGCTCAGGCCACACTGGTCTTTCAGCTCCTCAAACCCAGGCCAGTTCCAGTGTCAGCATTTCAGGCTATGCACTTTCCTCTGCTTAGATCAGCCTTCCACCCACTCTCACGTGGCTAGCTCCATCTCACCCACTAGGTCTCAGCTTGAACCGCCACTTTCTGAGATGACCTTCTCTGGCCACCCTGTCTATCCATGATTTCACCCCGTTGATTCTCTAACTCAGGCCTTTGTTTCTTTGTAGTGCTTAATTCTTCATTGTTTTGCCTGTTTACTTTTATGTATTGTAGGTCTAGGCCAAGGTTAGCAAACTTTTTTGTAAAGAGCCAGATTGTGGACTATATCCTATCTGTGTCACATATTACTGTTTTCTTTTAAAAAAAACAAACTTTTAAAAGTATAAAAACCATTATTAGCTCTTGGGCTGTACAAAAACAGGCTGTAGTTTGCTGCCTGCTCAGACGAACGCCTGCCACCTCTTAGCTGTGCTCATTGGATAGTTGCTGAATTCAAAACCAAGTTGTCCCAGAGACAAGCTTAGAATCAGTGCCACTGTCAGAAGATGCCTGTGAGTGGTTCTTGTGTGCAGCAAAGTGAAAGCTATTCTTACAACATTTAATGTGTGTAAGTTTTTATGAAATTCCTGAGTCATGGTGATTAGTTAGGGAGTCTAGAGTAGTTGGAAAAACAAAAATAAAATAAAATTCCTATTTATATTGAAACCAATTAAAAGACAAAAAGAAAAAGCTCAGAAGGATAACAGTGGTTAATGACCCTAAGAGGTAGGTTATCTACACTGTATAGAAATTGAACCTTAGGGGCCGGCCCGGTGGAGCACTGGATAGTGCGCCGCTTGGGAAGCGCGGTGGCGCTCCCGCCCGAGGGTTTGGATCCCACATACAGACCGGTTCCCGCTCACTGGCTGAGCGAGGCGCGGGAGCAACGCCGAGGGTTGCGATCCCATTGCCGGTCCCCGGTCCGGTACGGGGGCAACACTGAGGGTTGCGATCCGTTGCCGGACACGGAAAAAGACAAAAAGACAAAAAAAAAAAAAAGAAATTGAACCTTAGAAGTTCCGTAACTTGAAGCATGTGAAGTTACATAGCATGCTCGAAGTGATATATGGAGATGAAGACATACAAATAAGGCAGGTCAGTCTGAATGCAAAGCCTGACCGATTCATCGTAAGTATCATTTTGGAAAAGTGCTACCAACTTGAAACAAATTGTTTGGACCACCTACTAGCTCCCCCAGATTTATCTAATCAAATGGGTAGATTGTAGTAGAAGCTGTGTTTACCGCTCAGATCTCCATTCCGGACTTTGGCATTCATTCCCCCAACTGCCAGGAGTGTTTGGCTGCCTTACAGCTCAAAACTGAGCCCGTCCTCAGGGATTGCCCCTGAATAAAGAGAGCTACCTTGCCCAAGGTCATGCCCCCTCCCAGGAGCACCTCTTATCCAACATCTGCTAATGGTCAGGGTGAGTGTAAGTGTGTAAAGGTCCAACCCCCTTATCTCAAGGTGGGATGAACGTGAAGGGCCATCTCAGCTCCAGATCTCCCCCACAGGATCAACTTATGTCTACTGGGACTGCATTACACAGTTCAACTCTTGCCTCTGCCCAAACCCATCTTCTTTCACTCCTCAACAAGTATTGATCCTAAGGGCAATTTCCAACAAACTTTCTGCATGCAAACTTCCATCTCAGGATCTGTTTCTAGAGAACCTAACCTAAATTAGCACAGATCTTGCTCAAGTCATTGATAAAAATGAAATGGAGCAAAGGAAAGGCAGTACATGATGAATACTGCTGGGGTCGGGCTTCTTAGGTGGTCTATGAACTCCTTGAATTTAAGTACAAAGCTGTATATGTGCTTACATGTGTTTTTATGGGGAGAAAGACGATAGTTATAATTGGCTTTTCCAAGGGATCTATGATCCAATCAAGACTAAAAACCATAGCCCTGCAAACAATGAATGAATGGGCCAACATTGATCCATCATAAACAACTTTTAGAATGGTTGTTTAACCAGATATATCCCCATTCAACTGTCTTATTCAGCCCACATTTTTTCCTTATTATTAAAAAATATACCATGAGAGATGGTGTCAAACACCTTCCTGAAATGTTTGCTACAGTGGTTCTGATATATCTAATTCAGCTGAGTGAAAAATTGATTTTGTTGAGGTAGCTAGGTGCTCTGCTATGTCCTTGAATTCCCTTTTAACCACATTTTAAAACATTTACAGGAAGAAAGTAATTCTATTTGATGGAGAAGACAGAAATAAAATAGGACTTGAGGAATTCTTCTGTCTGCCCTCAGTTAACAGGAGGACATCTGCCCCCTATGTGTCTATCACTTTCTCTTTATTTTCCTGGCTCACAAAATACCCCGAAGTATTTATTTTTTATTGGTGAAGCTACTATTTCTTTATTCTGGCTCCCAATGATCTTCGTTATCCTTGGCTTTGCCCCAAGCCTCAGATTGTTTTAGAGCTTGCACTACCTCTAGCTCTTGTTCCTAACGTGACTCTTCCCAGATTGTGCCTTGGTTCTTGATCATGCACTCCTCCCACCTCCTCCTTTCATGTTTCCTACATGTTATTCTGTGTGTGTGTGTGTGTGTGCGTGTGTGTGTGTGTGTGTGTGCGCGTGCTTTTCAGGGGGTGCTGGCCATGCCTTGGGATGGGCCTTAATCTCAAAACATCCTTCTCCCCTTACATGTTCTTTTAAAATACAGAACCTCAGAAAGGAGCTGAAGATTCACTGTCCTGCCTCCCCAGAGCAACTCCCCAAAGCACGAAGTGCTTCTCAAAATTGTCATCAGTATGGCACCTTCTTAAAACTTTATTCTTACTAACCTGATGAACTGTAGAGCCACCAGATCCCTGAGCATCCAAAGAACGAGTCACCGGAAGTGGTGGTACAAGGTCCGTTTTTGAACTGCAGAGAGTGAGTTTTAGAATAAAATTAATGATTGGAACAGTACCTAGAATCAGAACTTATGTTGGAAAAGGGTGACAGCATAGACACACAACATTTCCATCATCACAGAAAGTTCTTTTGGACTGCGCTGTCCTGCAGCCATGAGGGTCCAGATGTCCTCAGGCCCACCCACTTACTTCACTTCCGACAGCACTGACCGCTCTCCATCCGAACACTGTGACCTGCGGTACTGGCGGTAACTCCTAGGTGAGTGAGAATGCCTGATACGGACCGGGTCACCTTGAGTCCTGAACAGCAGCCAGAACACATGGAAACAAACACACCAGAAGTCACAACAGGATAATCTGGAATACTTCCTTAACGTTGAAATCACAGGAATAATGACTTTTAAAGTTTTAAAAAGAACTTCACTCCTGGGCTTTGAGAGCCTTAGGTACTTAAATTTCACAAGTTAATAGAAAAATGCTCCCTTGACCATACATGAAAATGAAACTATTTATAGTATTTGTACGTACATGTGTGTATATATATATTTTTAATCACCAAATTTTAAGTGAAATTACTCCTCACAGTTAAATTATTTCCAGTAGTATGGAAGAAAAAAATCTATAATGCAAACAAAAAAAGTTAGTTGTTGTCCTAGCTACTAACTAGCTTGTCATTAAGAATTCAGTCTTTACTTGAAAATAACTGAAAGTAGATCTTAAATGTTCCTACCACAAAAAAAAATAAGTATGTGAGATGATATGTTAAATAGCTTGATTTAATCATTTCACAATGTATACAGATACCAAAACATCATACTGTATACCATGAATATATACAATTATTATTTGTTGATTATACCTTATTAAAAAAAGAATTTATTCTTTAGCGGAAAAGATGGGGAGGGTGACCAGGGTGCATCCACCTGCTATTTACCCAGGATGGGAAGGACACATGGTTTGCAGAAGGGAAATAAAGCGATGAAGCAGGCTTCCACTTTCTCATAACCAATTATATAGCAAGGCAGAAAACATGGAAAAGAGGTATGCTGCAGCCTACACTGACCGGTGACTAGGGAATCCTGTTGGGCATTCATGAAGCCTGTTCAGTGTGCTAGTTCTATGACAGGGATTGGCTCAGGCTTAAATGATAGGGTTTTGTAGTCAAAATAATTCTATTGGGGTTAAAATAATGGATAAAAGTAAACTTTATTACCAATTTTCTATTGGTGTTAAAATAATGGATAAAAATAAACTTTATTACCAATCAATGAATGCCTCAGAAAGGTAATTTATTTTTAACTAAGACATTATTCATCACAAGCCAACTTGGACCTACCACATACAAAAAGACAACTAATAGGAAATGGTAGTGATTGTAGTGCAGAATAAGAATTAGCTTTAATACACCCTTTTCTACCTCTTTCCCTACCGTCACTTTTAATTTTAGTTAAAATATAAAGACACATTAAAGCACTGAATAGAATACAACTGAAGAGTAAGAATGGATTACTCAATTATAAGCACTAATAAAACTTCAGTGAAAAGATTTTCAAAGACATACTCTATTTTAGTGTATGGAATCTCCTTTAATTGTTCTTCTGACAGTCCAGATGGATCCACAAGTTCCTTTCTATTATAAGCACTAATAAAACTTCAGTGAAAAGATTTTCAAAGACATACTCTATTTTGGTGTATGGAATCTCCTTTAATTGTTCTTCTGACAGTCCAGATGGATCCACAAGTTCCTTTCTGAAATGGAATAAGCAAGAAAATGAAAGTTGCAACACTGGCATAAATGCTAATGTCTTTCACGATCCGAAGGTGAGTTTCCCTTTCTAATCTTGTCCCTAAGACAGTGTTAAAAAAAGCTTATATAAATATAAGCCAGGCACAAAGACTAAAAAACTAGAATGTGTTCAAGGAAAAAATAGGAGGAAAACCTTTTCTATAGCTCTTTAGCCTTCTTTCAATTTTTCCACATCCAAATTCTTCAGCCATCCCCCATTTCCCTACAAAAGATTTGCTTCCCTTCCTCGTCATGGGTATCTTTTTTCTTCTGAATTTACTTTCCTTGGTATTCATTGTAAACCACTGGCCTGTCTGAGGCAAGATGACATTAGGTTAGGAGGTGGGAAAGCTGCCTGTAGATGGTTGCTGATGTGGGAAGGTCAGGTACCCAGGAGGATAACAGGATGACTGGCAGGCTCTAGCATGGGGCTGCCACTCAGTGCCAGGGGTCTTCTTTATAAAACACTGAGAAACAAAACAGTACTCACTGAATATGTTTCCATAACTCTTCTTTTGCTTGGATGTCTGGGCTTCTCCTATAAATGGAGAAAACAACATGCATCTCTGCAAACAGGCTTCATCTAGCAATGTAATAGCTAACTGTAATAGTTTGCAGACTGTTTAGTTCCTATTTGCCAGCTGAGACCAGACAAGGAAAGGTCAGGCAGGGAGAGCTATGTGATGGTTAGTTTAAAGACATCAGATAAGTTATCTGCTAGTGCCACTGAAGAAAAATGACATAAAACCCAGTCATAACCAGAGCTTCATTTAATGAAAGAGCTTAGAACTGCAAGGCCACATCCACACACCCTCCAGTGGTGACTGTACAATGAACAATGACTCCAGACTTCTGTTTGTGGTTCTTCTAGCTATTTCTAAGTAAAGGCAAAAAAAGAACTCATTCTGATACTATTACTATGAAAGAGTCCCAACAGGATCTGTGATTACCTTGTAGAAGCAACAACCACAAGGGAAAAGCAACTGGTGGGACAGCCCCAAGGGCAGACTGTACCAATGACCTATCTTTTGTTACATCTGGTGTTGTGTTTCTGCACCAAAACTTGGGCCCATAAATGCTAGAACCCATCTGTGAGCTCCACTCACACGCCACCCTCTATATGTCCTTCTCCATCCCTAACTACCAACCCCACAAATCACTTCTGCAAGAACTACTTGAGTAGAAATTACACCCCTATCTTTAACTTCCTAGAATTAGAAATCCAAAGTCAGTGTTCATGTGTGCACACTCTCTGTATTAACTATTACTCCCATTATAGCCATGAATACTAGAAATCTACTATCACTGCAATTGTTGTCACAGAATGACTTCTTTTCCTAGTAAGGTAATAAACTTTCATCAGTCCCTTCAAGAGAACAGAGGTCTAATAATAGGTGCAAAGAAAGCACCCAACTCCTAAAAATTAAAAGGTCCAGAGCCAAGTAAAGCTACTGATATACTCTGTCCTGTGGAATTTTACATTCATAACATGTTTCAGCATTTTGGGGCTCAGTCTTGCTTTCAGCATATGATATCATCAATGCTTTCATTTATTTTAGTTAATAAAGACACCACTGAGGTGTGCTGGTAGGGCTCTATGAGCCCACAGAATACAATAAGCTACTTTCTAGCCATTTAATTGACTAAGGTGATTTTTCCTTCTGGGGAAAAAAAAATCTGTCTATAAGGACCTTTTAATCAACTGAAAAGGAGACAAAACATGGAAGATGAGGGCGAGTGGATGAAGCCTCAGTCTCGGACCAGGTATGACTGTTAAATGTAGATGATGAGAATAAAACTGTATGCTTTAAAAAAAAAAAATCATAAAAACTGCTTTGGAATGATTTTCTGTATGGAATCTGACTTTCCTACATTTAGCTGGTCTGATTCACTAGACGATATGTTAACCCATTAAATGACACTGTCAGAGAAGATGCTAATCATAAAAACTGCTTTGGAATGATTTTCTGTATGGAATCTGACTTTCCTACATTTAACTGGTCTGATTCACTAGACGATATGTTAACCCATTAAATGACACTGTCAGAGAAGATGCTAATACTAGAAAGCACTAAGCTATTATTCTATCCTGGGAGAATGACAATTCAGTTGTGACTGTACTCAGCATCTGATAGTCTGAAATATTATGGAATATGTTGGTTAGGAAGCTATTCTATGGATAATCATTCTTACTTCAGGAAGCTGCAATCTTGAGGGTATTATCTGTTCAAGTGACAGCATGATTTCTCACTCCGGGCACCACTGACCTTTCTCTGTTGTAGGATGCTGTCCTGTGAGGAGTAGGATGATCAGTAGAACCCCTGGCTTCTACCTAGTAGATGCCAGTAGTACCTCCTCAGTGTGACAACCAAAAATGTCTCTAGACATTGCCAAATGTTCCTTGGGTGGCAAAAGGGCCCTCAGTTGAAAACCACAGACCAAGGGCATGACCTTGGATTTAAGTGGCTACAGTTGGGTGGTGGACTTGAGAGGCCAAGTTATCATAACAATCCATGATGTGAATATTGAAAGAGTGCTGGGGAGAATGACAGTGAGGCAGGAACTAAACGGTAAAAGACTGAGGGAAGTGGCCCAGGACCCAGATGATGGCAACTATAAGGAGGAGTGGTGGGTGGTGTCATTTGCTGGTGTGAGACTCAAAGCTGATGCTTTTAGGGAGGACAGAGGGAGAATGAGAGGTTACGAGGGGCAAGGAGGACACACACCCCATGACCCCCACACCAGGCCTCGTGATGAGAGACAGTGAGTGTGAATGATACATAAATAACTGCTACCAGTGGCTATTTCCCAGTGTTACAATTGCAGGTAATGTTATGTTCTTGTTTATACTTTTCTATCTTTTCTGATTTTTTTAAAGCCAAGAGAATTTTTTGCCTTAACTATCAGGAAAAAAAAAAAGGTATTTTCATGTTTTTTAAAAAAATTACTATTGCCATAATTCCACAGGAAATGCCTTTCATTCCCGTCTCAGAAGAATCAGCAAAAATGTTATCTTAACCTGAATGAGGTCATCAGTCCTTCTAAGCCATAAATATCAGTCCTAAAAGATTCAGGAGTTTAGTCTATATCTTTAAATTCTATAGCACCATAATAATCATATTTTTAACTAAACTGGGTTCTGAAATGGTCAGCAGTTTCAAACAGCTTTAAGGCAAAGTTCCAAAGCTAAAATAATGCTAATTTCCTCTGATTGCTAGGCCACCTGTGACTTAACAAATGTAAACACAAGCTACCTGTTAATGAGGACTGTATTATTTTTATGCTTACATCTTCATACATTTAATCAATAATTTAGGATGAATTCATGATCTGCGGCTCCCATCATTTTGTGGTTTTTGAAAGGCTTGGAATTTTAACAGCCATTTTCCTTAATTAAAAGGCCTTAATTATGCAGATGTTTTACTTAAATTCTCCAAAGAAGATCCTAAGGAAGTAGAACCCTGAGTGGTATGTAGGTATGACATATATAAAAAATAAACATGCAGTCCAATATTAGTCCAATATTTTTCAAAAGCACCCCTCATCCACACCTATACAAATACAGTATTCTACTTCAAATTAATCAGAGAAATTATTTTGATGAGCCATCATTTATAAATCACTCTTCCGTGTGGTGCTGACAACACCAAGTCAAGGGTTAAGATCCCCTTACCAGTCATCTTTATAAAAATAAAAAAATAAAAATAAATCACTCTCCCTTCTTTCAAAACCCTAAAATAAAAACAATTCATAAATCCACAAAGGAATTAAACTCCATCATTGCATATAATCTTTTTATATACCACCCAAACTCTCTAACTGTATTATCTAAAAAATATTATACAATATATGCTATAATATTATATGGTAAATTCTCATACAGTATTTTGTATACTATCTTATACTAAATAATAATAAATACGGCCACATTTGATGTTTATTATTTTTGTGATACTGGCCACTGCTCAAAAAAAAAAAAAATTAGAGTTGAAAATATGTAAGTTTACAAAACCTCTTTATTTAAAGAATTTAAAGCACTTAATAGATATCTCAGTAATTCTCCATCACATTCCTGAGTGATCAGAATAAATACAATTAGGAGATGTCTTGTTATCCTCCCTTCTTCCCCCTCTAAGTGAAAGAAGCATTAGGAAGCCACAGAGCTCAGCAACCTAGCTCCTGCAGATCGCTCAGGAGTCACTTTTGGGTGTTTCCTGTTAAATCTTTAATGCACCAGACTTCCGTTTTGTGTTTAACTGGATTATAGTCACTTCACCCTGACAACTTCATCTTCCCCATTATCAATATTTTTCAATAAAAGTAGTAAGATCGCCACCAGAGGGAGCCCTAGACTTTCCTGCACACACGTTGAACCAAAACTATTGTTTGAGCTTCAATGCCTCTTCCAAATACCCCAGAGTAAATGTTCACCCATGTAGAAAAGCAGTTTCAACGAAGCTGACTTTTTTTCTAATGAATAGTAAATACTAATGTCATGAAAATGTAGCTGGAAAATGTACTAGATAGAAATTTACTTCTTAACATTTTATCAGACAAGATCCAACCATATTTCATCTTAATGCTCTTTAGGAGAGAGGGGCTTTGTACTTTATACTACTCTATGTCTCTGGTATTTAATAATAATTTTCTAGCTCCTCACTGGTAATAAAAAAACAGAATGAATGAATAACAATGTATCATACCATTTTGACCCTAAGTGGATACTTCTATATGGGCAATTTACATATACTACAGTAGGAATTTAAGAATATGGGAGTAACTGAGAGATCAGTGGTTTACTGTACATCTGAAATGCAAAATATACATATATATAATACATATTTATAAATAAAACAAAATATATAAGTATTTTTATGTGAAGATGTTTTATATATATATATATATATACACATATATATATATATATTTATTAAGAACAACTTTCATT